CTGTCGGGGGGGCTCCGCTCCTCTGTAGGGGGGCTCCGCTCCTCTGTAGGGGGGGCTCCGCTCCTCTGTCCTCTGTAGGGGGGGGGGCTCCGCTCCTGTCCTCTGTAGGGGGGGCTCCGCTCCTCTGTCCTCTGTAGGGGGGCTCCTCTGTCCTCTGTAGGGGGGCTCCTCTGTCCTCTGTAGGGGGGCTCCTCTCTCCTCTGTAGGGGGGCTCCGCTCCTCTGTCCTCTGTAGGGGGGGGCTCCGCTCCTCTGTCCTCTGTAGGGGGGGGGCTCCGCTCCTCTGTCCTCTGTAGGGGGGGGGGCTCCGCTCCTCTGTCCTCTGTAGGGGGGGGGCTCCGCTCCTCTGTCCTCTGTAGGGGGGGGGGCTCCGCTCCTCTGTCCTCTGTAGGGGGGGGGCTCCGCTCCTCTGTCCTCTGTAGGGGGGGGGCTCCGCTCCTCTGTCCTCTGTAGAGGGGGGCTCCGCTCCTCTGCTCCTCTGTAGGGGGGGCTACGCTCCTCTGTCCTCTGTGGAGGGCTCCGCTCTGCTCCTCTGGCAGGGGCTCCGCTCTGCTCCTCTGGCAGGGGCTCCGCTCCACTCTGCTGCTCTGGCAGGGGCTCCGCTCTGCTGCTCTGTGGGGGCTCCGCTCTGCTCCTCTGTCAGGGGTCTCCACTCTGCCCCTTTTCCATTGTGGGAGTCTCCGCTGTGCTTCACTATCCACTGTGGGGGGTCTCTGCTCCTCTGTCCTCCGTGGGGGGCTCCGCTTTCTACCCCTGTCCTCTGTGGTGGCTCCACTCCTCTGTCCATGGTGGGGGGGCTCCACTCTGCTCCTCTGTAGGAGGCTCCACTCTGCTCCTCTGTCCTCAGTGGGGGGCTCCTTTCCTCTGTGGGAGGCTCCGCTCTGCTCCTCTGTCCTCTGGTGGAGGCTCTGCTCTACTCCTCTGTAGGAGGCTCCGCTCTGATGGAAGCTCTACACTGCTCCCCTGTCTGCTCCTCTGTGGGGGCTCCGCTCTGCTCCTCTGTGGAAGGCGATGTGGTGGCTGCATCAGTTCTCTTTTCTTTTCCTTTTTTGTCACCTGGTGATCCTGCCAGTAACACACTTCCTGTTCTAGGGTGAAAGCACTTAATGTACTGTGTCTATGGAGTTTTATCACCCTGAGACTACAGAACACACCCCCCCCCCCATATCGCCATTGCATAAGGAGAAGGTGTTGTGCAGTGAGGAGGGGGCAGGGGCGGACTGACCATTTGGAAACTCGGGCACTACCCGAGGGCAGGGGTCAGTAGGGGGCCCCATGAGATGCCCCTGGTACCTTTTTCATAGTCTTTTTTGAGTTTTGGCAAAGACACAGGGGCCCCATGATACCCTACTGCCCGGGGGCCCCATGAGTTGTCAGTCCGTCCCTGGGAGGGAGTTAAAATTTTCCATCCTGCTTCATCGATCGTCGATTTAAGCCCACTAAACATTATAAAATCCAACTAATTCTCCGAAAATGCAAATCTTAGGCCGAAATTCTATTGGTGCATGGCCATGGCTCTACTGTCATTTTGTAGAAGTTTGAAGGAGAGCAATTTTGTTTGGAGACTTTTGATTGCAGCAGTGGCAAAGAAAAGGTTAATATTGCTTTTTTTTTCATAGAAAAAGGGGGGGGGGGGGGCATTGGTTAAAAAAAATGGAAGGAAAGAGTTAATGCTGGGGATAACGGAGGGAGTTGCTAGATGCCATCACATGATGGCTATGAAGAAGCCCATTAAGGAACCAAGTCAGGCTGCTGAGCGTAATGTCGGAGTGTGTGGACTCCGGGGAGAGTTTTTTTTTTTTTAGATGGTTTACATATCAGTAAGAGTTTTAGATTTTGTTTGTCAGGCTGCGCTGTCCAGAGTGGGGCTGAGAAGTTGTGGGGAGAGGCAAGGTTCTGAAGGACCACAGAAAGCCCTGTCGAAGCAGAGCTGATGAAGGGGTTGTAGCCTACAGTCCTCCATTTTTGGTAGGATCACATTCCTTGAGGTTGTGGGAGTTCATCACTGTCACAACTTGTCTAGTACCTCAAGGCATTTTAGAAAACAACCAAATGCAGTACATCTCTGCACTTCTCCTCATGTTTTATCCTTTTAGAGACCTTGCATGTCCAGTAAAATACCTGCTGTTCTGCCAGAAATCCAGTGAGCTCCTGGATTCCTGTTGTGAACTTTGAGGTAGAGTCCTATAGTACACCCCAGATGAAGGGCCACCAAATTGTGTCAGTTACCCTTTATTTTCTCCTTGATCTACAATAAATGACAATGGACTCTTTAAAAAAACCTTTTCGTTGAATTCACAATTTAGTCTAAGGCCTTTCTTTCAGAGATAGGGCTCTACTTTTATCCTCGAGGTACACTCCGTAAGGTGATTCTTCCAGCAAAGGCAGGACAGCCCCAAGCGGTGACTGGTTTGGGGGGTCGAGTAGACAGACCTCTTTCGTACAGTGGGATGACCTCTTTCCTGAGTATGGCTTAATTGCCAAGTGTTCTAGATACTACAAGAGAGCCTCCACAATGTGTCGAGCCACTGGTGTTCCACTGGTGGTCTCTCCAGACTGGCATATCGGTTCCTTTGAGGAGTTTGGGCACATCGTGGTAAAGAGTATGGAGTTGTCTGGTGCCAATTGGAAGGCATGGGTCTGAGGACCCCAAGAAGTAAAGACATGTAAAGGATGACCAAGAGATAATCACTCTCAGTGTTGTGTTGCCATGAGCAGGTGAGGAATGACAATACAACGGGTGGAGAGCGTAGGAAGACGTACAACAAACCTATGTGATCGTAGAGATCAGCACTAACGTCCCGCTATCAACACAAGGAATCATAACTCTAAAATAATTCTGGTATTATGTGCTATACACTATTGGTGTTGTCCAACCTTGTATTGGAGTCCATATTCCGAATTTTCTTTTTTGGTTTAATCTTTGTGGTTGCTATGGTTGACTACACTCTTTGTACTGAGTTGCTTATTTTCTGTTTTGCAGGTTCACTTGAGTCAAAATTAAAATTGTTCTGGTCTACTTTTACACAGCATTACAAGGGAGTGAAGGAGGCAGCTATTCAGCTGTCCTCCCCCATGTGCCATTCCTGCCTCATTCCCAGACACCTGAGAGGAACACCAAAAAGAACATTCCAGAGGTCACCAACAAGATCATTGATCTGCTGACGGGAGAGGTGAGTGGTGCTGGGAATTCTGGGACATTCTCCGCTAACAGACAAGGGATGTGTCTGGATGGTGACTGTATCATTGTGTGTGTCAGGTTCCTATAAGGTGTCAGGATGTCACTGTCTATTTCTCCATGGAGGAGTGGGAGTATTTAGAAGGACACAAGGACCTTTACAAGGACGTCATGATGGACAATCAGCCGCCCCTCACATCACCGGGTAAGAGGAGACTTTATTGTAAAGGAGAGAGCAGTACGGAGGATCCACCTAGATCCCCCATCATCTGATAAACACATAGAAACAATGGATTCAGTCAGTGTATGTGTTTCCTACAGATGGATCCAGTCATGGGAACCCACCAGAGAGATGTCCCCGTCCTCTGTATTCCCAGGATTCCACACAGGAAGGTCACAACATCCCTCACCATCATCAGGTAGATGGGTCCAGTAATGAGAACCCACCAGAGAGATGTCCCCGTCCTCTGTATTCCCAGGATTCCACACAAGAAGGTCACACCATCCCTCACCAGCATCAGGTAGGTGGTTAACAATCCATGAATGGTCATTGTACACACCTAATATCAGTTGCATGGTTACATTTAACATTACCTTCATTATATATTCAGAGGGAAAACCTGGGGAACGTTAATGTTGCTCTCAAAGAGGAGGTAAAAGAGGAGGAAGATGAGGTTGGTGTGATGGACAAGTTTTTAGAAGGACACAAAGATCTCAACATGTCGGAACCATCCGTTAACATAAATTCTTCAGGGAGCTCTCCCGGTCTTTCTGATTCCTTGGATTGTACACAGGAATATCACAGCTACACACATCATCATCAGGTATATGGGATTGAGCGTTTAAGCTGTGAATGTTCCTCAAAACTCTATGACACAGGGGAAAGAGTTGATTCTACAAGTCAATTTTCTGTGTAGTGTCGCTTCAACAATTCTTATATTTTGAGTATGTTATTTTGTATAATTCTATGGGTTCAGAATGAAGACCACGTGGATATAAAGGTTGAGGTGAAAGAGGAAGAAGAAAACTCATATGTGAAGGATGATCAACAGTCCACGAAAGAGGATGGAATTAGGGTGGTCATTAAGGAGGAGGAAACTTCTCTGGATATCAGTTCAGGTAAACAAATTTTAAATGCAAAACCATTCACATGTCAGTCCAAAAGTATACATGCATTGAAAAAAATTTCTGTACACCATATGAAAGGTCCATGTTCCATTCCTCAATATAACGTCACGTTCCCAACAAATGAGGAGGAGATACTGGACACCATATGAAAGGTCCATCTCCATTCCTCAATATAATGTCATGTTCCCAACAAATGAGGAGGAGATACTGGACACCATATGGAAGGTCCATCTCCATTCCTCAATATAACGTCATGTTCCAAACAAATGAGGAGGAGATACTGAAAACCATATGAAAGGTCCATCTCCATTCCTCAATATAACGTCACGTTCCAAACAAATGAGGAGGAGATACTGAAAACCATATGGAAGGTCCATCTCCATTCCTCAATATAACGTCACGTTCCCAACAAATGAGGAGAAGATACTGGACACCATATGAAAGGTCCATCTCCATTCCTCAATATAACGTCACGTTCCCAACAAATGAGGAGAAGATACTGTACACCATATGAAAGGTCCATCCCCATTCCTCAATATAACGTCATGTTCCCAACAAATGAGGAGGAGATACTGGACACCACATGAAAGGTCCATCTCCATTCCTCAATATAACATCATGTTCCTAGCAAGCCTGAAGAGATCTATGAAACACTTCTCTAATAGGTCACTATGCATGACGCTGGTGTACAAAACATGAAAATTGATATTTCAACAATAAATTATTTCTTTCCAGCAGATGGACACAGTGCCAAGGAGAAGACAAACCCAGGAGAGCATCCATTTTTATGTTCAGAGTGTGGGAAATGTTTCACATCAGAAGCAGATTTTAACAGACATGAAAGACGTCACAGTGAAGTGTGTCCCTATTCATGTACAGAGTGTGGGAAATCTTTCCAAAAGAGACCGCAGTATACCAGACACATGAGGAACCACACAAACGAGAGGCCCCACTCATGCTCGGAGTGCGGACGGTGCTTTAAATTGAAAAGCCACCTGATGGCGCATCTCAGACTTCACACAGGCGACACCCCTTTCTCGTGCGTACATTGCGGAAAAGCTTTTACATCCAGGTCGCGGCTTTTTAGACATCAAATGTATCACATTGGCGTGCGGCCGTATTCGTGTTCAGAGTGCGGTAAGTCTTTCACCGAGAAGTTCATGCTCGTCCATCACATGAGAGTTCACACTGGCGAGAGGCCTTATTCATGCCCGGAGTGCGGTCAGCGTTTTAAAGATAAAAGCGTTCTGAAAGGACATCTGAGGGTTCACACCGGAGAGACTCCTTTCCCGTGTCCTGTGTGCGGGAAATGTTTTACGCGGAAAGATATCCTCACCATACACCAGCGGAGTCACTTGGACAAATTGCCATACACATGCGAAGAGTGCGGGAAAGGTTTTACATGGAAGAGTACCTTCATCAGCCACCAGAAAACCCATACCGGTGAACAGCCATTTTGCTGCCCAGAATGCGGCAAACGGTTCAGCCAAAGATCCTCTCTTTCGCAGCATCTAAAGCTCCACTCAGAAGAAGGCTCGTTGTCATGTGCGGAGTGCGGGAAATCGTTCGCAACGAAATATGAACTCGGTGTCCATCGGAGAGGTCACACGGGCCAGGAGATCTTTTCGTGCTCGGAGTGCAACAGATGTTTTTTGCAGAAGGGACACCTTCTCATCCACCAGAGGAGTCACACGGGCGAGCGACCTTATACCTGCCCGGAGTGCAGAAAATCCTTCTCAAGGAAAGGAAACCTCCTTACGCACCAGAGGATCCACACGGGCGACCGCCCTTTTTCCTGCTCGGAGTGCGGGAAGTGTTTCCCTCAAAAAGGATATCTTATCCAACACCAGAAAAGTCACGAGGGCGATCGTCCTTTCTCCTGCCTGGAATGCGTGAAGTACTTCAAAACCAAATCCGAACTCCTCCTGCACCAGAGAGGTCACACCGGTGAGCAGATCTTCTCCTGCCTAGAGTGTGAGAAGTCTTTCCTGAAGAAGTGGCAACTGGTCGAACACCAGCGGGTTCACACCGGTGAAAAGCCCTTTTCCTGTTCGGAGTGTGGGAGACATTTCTCGCACAAGGCCAGCCTCAAAACTCATCAGAAACTCCACACCGGCGAGAAGCCGTTTTCCTGTTCGGAGTGCGGGAAATGTTTCCTACAGAAAGGACACTTAACTAAACATTATAAAACCCACGCCCGTTCGTGCCAGCTGAAAAATGTTTCTTAGCCTTTTATAGGATGGATTATTATTTTCAAAGCACACTTGAGGAAGATCTAAAGCATGAAGGCTTGTCCTTCAAAAAAGGATCTTCTGAGTTTTCAGGAGTTGATCATCTCCCAGGCGTCCAATGAGGACTGTAATATCACTGCTGGCCTCATTGGTCCTCGGTTATTCATTGTTGGGTTTCTAATTTTCAGATTTAAAAGCTGAGGAGTATGTGTAGTTGTACCACTGTATACCTCCGAGGTCTGACCACACGTACACTTCCAAGCAAGGTCTGTTCTTTCTCAGAAATTTCCATGAAATAACAAAGAAGTACAGATGGAATACGGCATGTAGAATGATGGGGCAGGAGACCTCCATTTCCAAAGAATCTTCCAATCTAAGAGATGGGGGAGGAGGTGAAGGACATACCAAAGCCTTTTGGGGTTCAGAGGCTTCAATTTTACTTGCTGAAGGTCTAGACAGTCCTGTAGGGCCAAAGAGTAGGCCATTATAAGCTGCAAACCCTGGTAGAAAATCTTGGTAACACCCAATGTTGACAGGTCTGTTCAGTCCTTTGGCTACTAGGCACTGGTGAAACATCTTGGCAAGACCTACCTTTTTAATGGCCAAGTTCAGTCCTTGGCTACTAAGCCCTGGTGGAACATCTTGGCAAGACCCACCTTTGATGGTTGTGGAAGGACATACCAAAGCTTTTTTGGGTTGTTAAGAGGCTTCAATTTTACTTGCTGAAGGTCTAGACAGTCCTCTAGGGCCAAAGAGTAGGCCATTATAAGCTGCAAACCCTGGTAGAAAATCTTGGTAAGACCTAACGTTGACAGGACTGTTCAGTCATTTGGCTACTATGGCCCTGGTGGAACATCTTGGCAAGACCTACCTTTTAATGGCCCAGTTCAGCCCTTTGGCTACTAAGCCCTGGTGGAACATCTCTGCAAGACCTACCTTTTTAATGGCCCAGTTCAGTCCTGTGGCTGCTAATCCCTGGTGGAACATCTTGGCAAGACCCACCTTTGATGGCGTTGAAGGACATACCGAAGCTTGATGGGGTTCAAAGGCTTCGGTTTTACTTGCCAAAGACATAGACAGTCCAGTAGGGCCAAAGAGTAGCTCATTATAAGCTACAAAGCCCAGGTAGAAAATCTTGGCAAGACCTACCTTGAATTTGTAAAAAGAGAAAAAACCTCAGCGCCCAGGATTCTCTTATTCCACACACTATTCCCTGTGAGATGCTGCTGTACACAAACTTAAAAATACACTGTGACACAAAAATATAAATTAAAATATTAAAAAATATATATAATTTAAAAAATAATAAGTCCAGTGACAAAATCCAAAAAAACAGTCCCGTGAAAAAAAATTTTATATTATATTTTCATTGAATTCTTCCATGCCAGTGATACCTCCACCATCCACCAGTGCAAAACCAACATTAACCGCACTCACCAGATAATGGTGAGTCAAACGCCTTTCAGGGATATTAAGGGCTCCTGGACCTGGACCTGTGGGTGAGGCGAAATGCGTTGACGTATTTCCGGCTGCCTGTCCCGGCGTCTGATGTCATTTCCGGTGAGTGGAACGCACGCCGAGCGGTGCGTTCCAAGGGGCCATCTTTGCATAGTGGATGGGTCTGCATCTGAGGTCTGTTATCCTGCTGTATACCTGGCTGTGGGGTCTCTATACAGAAATCGTTTTATATGAAAGAAAGATCGTTTTTATGAAAGAAAGATCGTTTTGCTTCAATAAAATGCGGGTTAATATCTGCTAAAATGTGAGTGGTCTGGAAAAATTCTTTTAAGTTTGTAAATCATTACGGTATCACACTATGGTCTTTTTCTTCTTCCTGATTTTCTCTGGGGGATTCGGTGAGAGGAGGTGTCCATATCCTAGAGGAGGCAATATCTGGAGGTCATATACAAAGTAAAGGGGGTCCAGGAGCCCTTAATATCCCTGAAAGGCGTTTGACTCACCATTATCTGGTGAGTGCGGTTAATGTTGGTTTTGCACTGGTGGATGGTGGAGGTATCACTGGCATGGAAGAATTCAATGAAAATATAATATAAAAATTTTTTTCACGGGACTGTTTTTTTGGATTTTGTCACTGGACTTATTATTTTTTAAATTATATATATTTTTTAATATTTTAATTTATATTTTTGTGTCACAGTGTATTTTTAAGTTTGTGATATTTAGTAACTATTATTTATGGGCTGGGTGATGCATTTTATTGTGTTGTGGGTTTTGCGCTGGTATAAGTTGATATAAGACCTACCTTAGACAGTTCTGTTCAGTCCTTTTTGGCTAGCATGCCCTGGTGGAAAATCTTGGCAAGGCCTACTTTTTTTACAGTCCTGTTCAGTCTTTTGTTTACTAAGCCCTGGTGGAAATTTTTGGCAAGACCTACTTTTTAATTGCCAAGTTCAGTCTTTTGGCTACCAAGCCCTGGTGAAACATCTTGACAAGACCTTTTTAATGGTACTGTTCAGTCCTTTTGGTTACTAAGCCCTGGTGGAACATCTTGACTAGACCTTCTTTTCAATGGCCCAGTTCAGTCCTATTGGTTACTAAGCCCTGGTGGAACATCTTGGCAAGACTATCTGTTAATGGCTTAGCTTAGTCCTTTGTCTCCTAAGGTGTGGTTGAACATCTTGACAAGACCTACCTTTTTGAATGGCCAAGTTCAGTCCTTTGGCTACAAAGCCCTAGTGGAAAATCTAGGTAAGACCCACCTTTGATGATTTGGAAGGACATACCGCAATTTGATGGGGTTCAGAGGCCTCAACTTTACTTGCCACAGGCATAGACATTCTTGTAGGAACAAAGAGTAGTTCATTATACATTTCAAAGTCTAGTAGAAACCTGCCTTGGGCAGTCCTGTCTAGTCTTTTGGCTACTAGGCTCTGGTGGAACATCTTGGCAAGACCTACTGGTTAATGGCCCAGTTCAGTTCTTTGGCTACTAAGCCCTGGTGGAAAATCTTGGCAAGACCCACCTTTTATGATGTGGAAGGATATATCAAAGTTTGATGGGGTTCAAAGGCTTCTGTTTTACTTGCCAAAGGCAAGGGCAGCCCTGTTAGTCCAAAGAGTAGCTCATTATAAGCTACAAAGCCCAGGTTTAAAATCTTGGCAAGACCTACCTTGGACAGTTCTGTTCTGCCTTTTAGCTACTATGCCCTGGTAGAAAATCTTAGCAAGACCTACTTTTTAATGGTACTGTTTATGCCTTTGTCTACGTTTGTTGGTCACGTTCAGTCCTTTGGCTACTTATCCCTGGTGGAACATCTTGGTAAGACCTACCTTTTATTGGTCCACTTCAGCTCTTTTGGCTACTAAGCCCTAGTGGAAAATCTTAGCAAGACCCACCTTTGATGGTGTGCAAGGACATACCAAAGCTTGATGGGGTTTAGAGGCTTCAATTTTATTTTCCAAAGGCACAGACAGGCCTATGGGGCCCAATAGCAGTTCATTTTAGGCTACAAAGCCCTTGTAGAATATCTTAGCAGAACCTACCTTCTGATTAGTTATTTGTCTACTAGGCCTTAGTGGAAAATCTTGGCAAGACCTACCTTATAATGGACCAGTTCAGTCCTTTAGGCTTCTAAGTCCTAGTGGAAAATCTTGGCAAGACCCACTTTTCATGTGCTTGTTCAGCCTTTTTGGCTACTAACTTTCTGACAAATGGAGGTCTTAAAGTCAACCTGTCCAAGCCTGGCCAACTCAAACCGAGGAAATATGATAGGGTCCAGTGGGGGCAATCTTATTAGAGGGTTTATTCAGAATCTTTTGAGAAGACTATTTCGATATGATACTTCTAGAAAGAAGGGCAGCTGAGGGGAGATCTCACATGTTTCGGAGATATCTGAGGTCAGTATCAAGAACCATAAAATCAGCAAGCATCTGCAGAGCCCTGTGGAAAAAACAATCTAAGTAGGACCTACCTTATAGATCTCTGACCGTCCTGGTCAGTTGATTAGCTGCTCATTCTTGATAATCCAAATTCTTAAAGATCTGTTTTAAACCGAACGTAGTGAAAATAGGCAGAAGTAGAGATCACTTCATTAAAACTGCATATCCAAAGGATGAGTAGATCTACAGATTTAGCAAGCTGGCATCATTAGCAAACCTCCACTTTTCGTATAAGAGGCAACCCTGGCCCTATGCCCTTTTACCTTCCTATTGGTCCATTAATCTGATAAGCAGTCTAACCAATCGTGAGGCTTAGGAGGAGACCAGGCGAAGCTTGAAGTTGATATTTTCTTATATATTAGGCAGTTCGTTACTCCTATACAGGTCAGTCGTGGTCCCACCTCCTAACCCTTGCTGCTGGCTATCATGGCAATGGGGGAGAAAGGATTGGGGAACAGGTTTGCCTTTTACGGGACATTGAGGCTTTATAGAAGACTCCAACTTTTGTCTATCTCTGGATCTAGAAATGTTTTGAAGGTTTTCTCTGATGCTTGTTTTTATTTTATTCCCCACTACGCGTTGACTTTGAATTGTCCAGATTAATGATGGGTTTGTTTATGAGCCTCATTAGTTCCCTAGAGGTGCAACCCAACCAAGCGGACTACATGAAAATGGGATTTGTAGAAAGGCTAAGAGGGAAACCGTTAGGTATGGGCACCCTAACCACCTCAAGAACTGTCCAAAACTGAGCTTCTTAGGTTTTGGCTGTAGCCTTGATGTATCCAGAATTTGGTTCCTGTTTGGCCATGCCCTGTTCCTTAGACAGGAAAACGAGCAGAGTACGGTCAATTTGTTTTTCTATGGTTTGTTAGCATGTTCCTACACCCTTTTCTTGAAGGCCTGTACTGTTGGTGGTTAACCTTCAGCAGGCGAAATTGGAATATTACCATGAGCACTGTCATGACTGGCTGAGGTCTTTGGTGAACTTCAAACTTGGAACCTTGTTTCCACCATCACTGTCTTTTGCCAACTTAATGTCCTGCTTTATGTCATGGCAGTCTACCATTACCTTGATGTCCTCTAGCCACCATGTTCTTC